TTTCCTTCTGTTGGAGAGTATTGCCGTTCCTTCTAATGACTGTTACTGATTGTTGATGTAAGTCTGTTACTGAACTGTTTTTGATACTGGACTTTGATATTTGGATTTTCCCTAAACTGAAAACTGACTGCTTCACCTGTGACTGACTTGGACTGCTTGTTTGGACTTTGCTTAAACGTTTATTGGAAGTAAAAACCTACATTTACTGTACAGTGTATCTGTGTGCTGTTTGTGTGTTATTCTTCACTAATCTCACTACGTCTCCCTGTATGCGCTCATTCTCCTAACGGGGAATTACCTCAACACACACCCCACTCCATCCAAGGCAGCCACATTCCTAGCCTGCTTTTGAGCTCCGTTCTCAGGAGGGATGGGAAAGAGAGGTCCGATTTAACCTCAAGGGCTGGTGGTTTTCTTTCTCTTTCTCTCTCTCTCCCTCACACCCCCCCCTCCAAAGCAGCCACATTCCTAGCCTGCTTTTGAGCTCCGTTCTCAGGCTTCATGCAAGGAAAGCAGTAGAAGCAGCAGAAGTCTTTCTTTCTGTCCCTCCAAACTCCGCCAGAAATGAGTCTTTGCCGGCGCAGCCTCTTGGAGCAGGATGCCTTGCAGGATCCCAAAGATTCATTTCTGGAGGAGTTTGGGGGAGAAAAAGAAAGACTTTTGCTGCTTTCCTTGCGTGCAGCCAAAAGCAGAAGAAGAAATAAGCAGAAAGAAGCAACCCGGTGGCCAGGCAAGTTCCCCTCTCCACCCTTTCCCGCCTCCCCTCACTACCTCATGTTGTTCGCAATGCAAGCGACGCAAGCCTTGTGTTCCCGCAGGCCATGTGGGCAGCACAGCCTTGTGTTCCCCCGCAGACTAGTTTAATTGCTTTTCGGGGGGTGACATTTCTCTGCAGACCACCCAAATTTTCTCACGGACCACCAATGGGCCATGGCCCACCGGTTGGCGACCACTGCATTAAAGCTTATATTCCAGTCAGGTCTTGTTTTGGGGGAAATGCCATACTAAATGCCTCCATCTTGCTGACAATCTTAACTGGGGCTTATTTTGAGGGTCGGTCCAGTAGGGCTTATATTACGAGCATCAGGAAAAATCATGCTAGGGCTTATTTTCCAGTCGGGTCTTATTTTGAGGGAAACATGGTAGCTAACAACTCTAGTGATTCACTTAACATTTGTGGCAAGAAAGGTTATAAAACGAGGCAAAATTCACTGAACAACTGTCTTGCTTAACAACAGGCATTTTGGGCTCCATTGTGATCGTAAGTGGAGGACCACTTGTAGTTTGTACTCTAGGAAAACAGCTGATGCTAACACAAAATGTTTGCATGGATCAGTTTCCTATCTCTTGTCTGGCTTATTGTTTAGGTGAGTTCATTATTTTCTGGGAATGCACACGAAGGGAAATTGGAAAAGCTGCCGCTGTTTTCCATCGTCAGAACATCACTTCCCAAGCTTCAGCTAATACTTTCAGAGGAGGTTTGTGGCTCTATTAATGCCAAAAGGGTTACATAAATGATAATAAATGAATACCCGACGTGTTCCGCTGGCTGACAAGCGTTTCAGTTTCAAGACAAATGAAAAGAAAATCTCCATTAATGCGGAAGGGAGAATGAGGCAGTTGGAAATTTGGAAATTGCAGGTTTCCTCAAGAAAACAATAATAAAATAACAACTTTTTGCTTTTTTTGACGTCCAGAAGCTGATTATACAGATCAGCCTAAATTTTCTATAGCCAGCACATTCTTTGGTTGCCAAAGAAACTATTTTAAAATGCAAACGAAAGAGCGGCATTTAATGATATGCTTCACCTCTTTTCCTACTTTTAATCACCTTTAATTGCATACTTTGCCTATCTTCTTCCTGTCCAGCTCTTCCTTTTATTGCTAACCTGCTATTGCAGTTAAAAAAAAATACTTTTTTTATTGTGAGAAAGGGAAGAGGTGATTCCATCAGGTTGCCACCAAACTGGAATGAAATCACTGGATTTTTAAAAGGAAAATAAGTCACTAAAATGGTTGTTGAACATGAATTGTTATCAATTTGTCATTGTCATTGTTATCAGATAATCCAGACTATCCTAAAATGACTTTTTTCCCCCTGGGGAAAACTCTAGGCCCTGGCGACGCAATGGTTAGAATGCAGCATTGCAGGCTGATTCTGCCCATTGCCAGGAGTTCGATTCTGAAGGGCTCAAGGTTGACTCAGCCTTCCGTCCTCTTCTAAGGTCAGTAAAATGAGGGCCCATATTGTTGGGGGAAATATACTGACATTGTAAACTGCCCAGAGTGTGCTGTAAAGCACTGTAAAGCGGTATATAGGTCTTAAGTGCTATTGCTATAACATAACTCTGTTAAACTCAGCTGTACTGTTTAGTTAACTGCAATATCATATGACATTTCTGTATTTATTTGTATCTTCCTC